TGTCATGTTTACGAACGGAGACCCGTGCGCGGTAACCACTGCGCCATGCTGGCCGCGCTCTCGGGGCGCAGCCGTTCCCGCTCGGCGACGCCCGCAATCTGCCTTCCGCAGCCCCGTCCCTTGTGCCCTGAGCGGGTGGGCATCAGCTTTAAACCACCGGGACCTGGTTGTGCGGGTCAGGAAGCCCAGAGCTCCGGGGGACAGTCACTGGCGCCCCTCGCCGCCCGCAGTCCTCCAGGTTACAGGATGGGAGGAGGGATGACCCCACGGCCCCTAGGACCCCTGGGGGGACACTCAGGAGTGGGGGCCAGCGCTGAGGGAAGGGGCTGGAGGGCCCAGGTCACGACAAGAGGGTCCGATTTTACTTAAGAACCAGTCCTGCCTGCGGGGTGGTTCCAAAGGGATCCATGATGAGGTCACATAAAGGCCTGAGGGGCTGCCCCCGGGGATAGGGGGGTCCTCAGAGCTGGAGGAGCCGGGTCTTGGGGACACACAGAGGAAAGGGTGTTCACATGGCTGACAGCAGTCCTGGGTGGGGGCTGTCTCCCAAAGGCACTTCAAGGCCTTTCTCAGCTTCTCCCATTGACAGGGGAGCAGGCGGGGGAGGATCCCAGGACAGACACCCAGGCCTCTGCACCACCCCAGCCCTCCCCAGTTTTCACCGAACCCCATCATAAATCCGAGAGCTCCCCCGCCTCACAGCCCTGAGCAGGGCACAGACCAGGAGCAAATCCGGGGCACAGTCCTCAGCTGAGGGGGGGCGCACCCAGAGAGGACAGCACCTCCACACTTGGAGATTTCAGCTGGGCTCTACCTGGGGCCTCCCCAGAGCCCCCCTCCCTTCCACTGGCGGGGGGGTGGGGGTCTGTCACTCCCAAAGCCTACCAGCTCCCCACTCGGGAAATAAAGAACAACCTCTCTCAGCCCTTGGCAGCCCCCTCCTCTGTCTCTTGCTGCAGCCGTGTCTGGACAGAACACACCTAGAGACGCCCCCTCTTCCAGTCTCAGACCACTTCCAACCTCTTTCCTGTCGCAACCTTCGGTACCATTCCAGACCAGCCAACACCATTCCAGACCAGCCAACACCATTCCAGACCAGCCAACACCATTCCAGACTAGCCAACACCCTTTGAGACCAGCCAACACCTTTCCAGACCCACCAACCCCAGACCAGCCAACACCATTCCAGACCAGCCAACACCATTCCAGACCAGCCAACACCATTCCAG